ATCTATCCTCAATTAAGAATCAAAATGTAGATGAGTAGACTATGATGGAATGCCTAGTTCCACTCGTCTTACGAAGCACAGCCGCAATAAGCTGCTAAATTACGCTGGTAATTCTGCGAGAGCGTGGTTCTTCCCCGGCCGAGCTGATCTATTCGTGCTGCAAAAGACAACACATTTCTTTCTGTCTACACATCAGCTAATTTTAATTACATTTTATTGTAGATATATCCTATACCGAGTTGATAATTTTTTTAGTTTAATTTGTTTAGGTATTTTTAATTCACTTGTTATAAGGATACTAGATCTTTTTTGCTCCTTTATAGTAAATTTTTACGCTACCAGAAATGAACTGAGTAATATGAGGCACCAACAGAATAATAGTGCTTTGGCCGTGTCAACACACAACAGCATCATGCTAGTCAGATGCCTTTTTGTTGCTGCAATCCAATGTATTTATGTACACTGCAATTATTTTCTTGTTTGCTTTGTAGTTGTAGTTATGTAGTGCGTTGGTGTGATGAGTAAATCACTCATTTATTCAATGAAGCGTTTATATTAGTAGTTTTTCGTAGGACTACTACTACCTTAGCTTATGTTATTTTTTCTTAAAAGCTTTTACTGTCTTAGCTTTTCACTTGTTATGTTTACACTCGATATGTTCACGCTATCAAATCAGCGGGGCGCTTGCTATAAATCACACGTTACTCACCCATGAATCACAACATCTCCCTAGTCGCGAAGATATCTAGATGCAATAAAAGATTGCGGCCCTCCCAACTATCAGACATTTGTTACGATTTCTTTAGATACGTGACCGATTGTTTCGATAGAGTAGGTATAAAACAGAGATTTCAAGAATGCATTTCACCCTTCTTCCGTAAAAAAAAGAGAGTCAATATAATTACCGGTTATGTATGCTCTCTATGGTTACAACTTGATTGTAACCATAGAGAGCATACATAGCATGATTAAATACAATGATGTGTCTTACCTGGATTGAAGAGCACCTCCCGCCCTCCCTCAATTGCGTGCACTAATCCCGCCACCACTAGTCACGCTGTTCCCGCTAGGTCCCGTAAATCAGTTCTTAGCGGTCAGCCGCCGTAGAGTCTACATCTCCTGAAGATGCTTCGTGTAGAGACGAAACACGTGTCGTATTATCGTCGATCGTGTGTCTTTCCTGAAATAGTGGTGTTGGAAATAGTGGTGCCAGGAGTAGTGGTATTAGGAGTAGGGGTGCTGGGACTAGTGGTGGCGGGATTAGTGCACGCAATTGAGGGAGGGCGGGAGGTATTCTTTAATCCAGGTAAGACACATCATTGTATTTAATTAATGCGGATGGTTGCGAATTAGATATTAATCTTTATTAGAACCTTGTTTGTCAATGACCAGAATGTATTTCTCTTTACAAACCTTAAAATCTTTTAAACTATGCAGCAAACGCTTGGGTACTACCGAGCTGCACAATATGTCACTATTATCACCATTATCATTACTAGCGTATTCGCGGATTTAGTTAAGAGTTCACTATTATTCTAATAAGAGGGGATTAAATTTAATCGCCAGGATTGGTGATCGTAGTTATATAGGTAAATCTAGTAACTCTCGTTAGAATGATAGATTCCCCATTTAAATTTTTCGTCAGTTCGTTATTTTGGACAAAGGAGCGTGGTTTTTAACAATTTCTCTTTTCCGACATCGACAAGATGTCTCTATAACGTAAGTTATCTATGCAAGAATACTTTAGCACTCGTGTACACGCGTCAATACAATCAATGCACGAGGCCAAAATGTAGACAAAAATAAAATAAATTATTTTGCCACAGGGCCTGCATATACCCCAGCATCAATACGAGTTACTGTGCTAAATAAAGATTAACATCTCTATGGATTTTTTTTGCAATTCTGCAAGATTGGAGGCTTACCCGCTGTGTAAAGGATAACTGAAATATCGGCCATTCTAAACTAGTGCTTGACTATTATTTATTAATTATATTAAACTAAAATTTATATTGTGTTTTCATTATGCATTACAGCGTTTTAAGTTCTGCTAGAATTGGGCCTTTCCAAGTATGCGTCGGTTGGTACGTATTACTTTAAAAAAATTCGATACTCATTACTCTGGGAAAGGGGGTTAGTGAGCGGTAATGCTCCCACTGGTAATGCTCCCAATCACCAGTAACTGAAATTTTAGGGCTTTAGGTGGATTTTCTGCAAACTGAAAACAAATTCATATTAATATGTTATTTGACCTGATGTCCTCTTGCTTAATATCTCGATAGTGTACTGCATTGTGAACAGTACACTATTCTTTCCCGGTCCAACCGACCAATTCGTGCTGCAGACAATATACGGCTTCAGCGTGGCATTCCCATGTTGTAGAACTTCAACGACTCTTTTTCGAGTTAATAATATGATAGGTTGACTGAAATCTATGTCAGTTTTATACTCAAGGCATCAACTGTCGTTGAAAGGAAGAAAAATAGTAAAAGTGTTGGCCGATCACAAAACGCGTGTGTGTCCCGGGCTTAAGTAATTTGTAGATGTCATCAACGTGAATAAGTTGTGCGTATGGAGCATATTATACCGTAGATATCTAGTACATTTCATATACGCAAGGAAAATGAATACATATTTCAAAACGCATATTATTTAATTAATATTGAGACATGTGCTTTTAGAGGAATTCGATAGTATTTTAATTTTCATAAGCTTAATATATTCACTATCCCATATCATCCCGTGGCTGTAGTAAAAGGCGACAGACAGACAGACAGACTGAAACGGGAGATGGGCGTCAGCAACTTTCTGACAATAACTCAAAACAATAAAAACTGTGGTTGCCAACGGGCCTGCCAATCATAGCAACTATGGCAAAATCCTTCCTCTGAGGCAATATATGGGTAAGCCTATGTTCAGCTGCTATAGGCTGTCACGGATGCATACATGGATGAACCTTAATATTGTTGATGGTATCGTTTAATTTCTAATCTTCAAGTATACTTTATCAAAACCAGCGACTGCCATTGACTTAGTGCACATATTTCTGTAAATATAAGTAAACGTCGCTACCCCTCTTAACCAAAACACTTAGCGGATCAATAATGTCAATGTTTACGAGGTCTTGTTGTGAGAGTGGTGTGACGGAAAATCTCTAAGCTAATTCATTTCTTACTATAAATATTTCTTACTACTAATAAATTCATTTTTACGAGACAAATCGTTGATATTAGCATTTCCCTCTTATGTTATTAAACCGTTCTCTCGAAATTAGGAACACTTACTTGTTTTCCTTGTGTTACAGTTTTTGTTATTAATTTTTTATTTAATTTTACTTGTGCCATTCCAATGCGCTTACTTTTTCTACGAATGCTCACTTTGTCCAAGTGTATAGCTGTTCTATTGATAGTCAATAAGATTCACACGACCTGAAAACTAATCCAAAAACACTGAATCCAAATTTTATAGTCTGATGATGTGGGACAGCATCAAAAGTGGGAAGGTATTTTTGGGCTTACCGAATTATTGGTAAGTGTGGTAAATACCAGTTGGAACATTCTTGAAAAGTCATCAGTCCAGTGGTGAAAGTAAAATGACTGTTAATGTGAGGGGTTATTAAATAAAAATTAACATATGCATAGAATAGAATATTGATTTATTTGCATAGAATGTAGGTAATTTACAAAAAGGGTGTTGACAGAGTACATAAAAGATCCGTACATTCTACCATTTTGGCATGCAAATATTAAATTAAAATTTATTTCTATACTACACTAGTAAATAATTATTAATAGATTTAATACGATAATTATGATTATAAATGGTTATTACATTATTATTATTATTAAAAGAATTGCGTTATTATTACTATTACATTATATCGATTTTTGAATTAATATTGCAGGTAGCTTATTACATTATAAATTATTAATACTAACAGATTATACAAAACAATTAATTTACTGAACGTAATTTTATATAGGTATCATCTAAAAAGTCCGATACTGAGTAATAACACCTTTCCAATAACAAAGAAGTAAGACTCTTTTTAAATATTCTTATCGGTTGATTTTTTACAAAATTAGGAATTTTATTATAAATGACTGTTGCCATCCCCATAACACTTTTTTTTGATAAAGCTGTTTGAAATCTTCCTGTGTACAATGCATATGCATATGGCGCTACATCCGTGGTAGCTCAAGAATAGACGACTATTTGAAATTTCAAAGCTTGTGGAAGAATGAGTGAAACAACATGTTTATTACTTGCTATAATTACTTAAAAAAAGAAACCTTTAAAAAATAAACTAAGTTAACACGCGGGATTCCATTTGCATCATCGAAAGGGCTACCAACTCGGCAAAATGCTACTGCAACAGAAACTCGGCGGCTCTTTCGGCGTTAATCTCAATTTTTAAAGTTACAAGAGGGTTGGTTCTTTCCTTGTAGAGTGAAAAATAAAAAATCTGTGAGAAAATTTAATTTATATTATAATTCAATATATCAATCTGCACTGACATCCGGTGTGGAGTAGAGCCATATGATCTTTCAAATATATACATATTTTAATTATAAACACTAGCTGGCGCAACGCAGCTGAAGTTCCACTCCCAAATCACTCCTGACTTTTTACAGTGTATCGACCAAATTTATCAATAAATTATAAATTAAGAGTAGTTTAGTCCATAAAGCACAACGCCACCTATCGGAATTCCAGCACTTAACTATAAAACATCGCACCGAAAATTCAAAATATTATAGATATTGTGTGATATACATAGACTACTAGGAGGATGCTAGTATATTACTTCAATTATTCAAGCATAGACTTATTATCAATTCGTTCAAGTCGTTCACACGAGTAATCCACAGACGCACTAACGATTATTTCATAAAGATTGTGCCTAATGTTTTTTATGTCAATAATCTTTGTAATACAAAAATCGTTCCACGCTGGTGAAATAATGTATTATTACTATCACTACGAAGCGAAACTTGTATTTAACCATATAAAGGAGTGTGTGTTATTTTCAAAATCCATGATGCATAATATGATACGTTCGTAAATATAGCCAATTTAAGGTCACAATCTCTAGGTTTCATCGCAAGTATTCCAACCAGCTTATCACCTGAATAAATCGGTCCAAATTCATGTATGAAACAATCTTCGTAGTCTGACAAGTCTACGCAGATCAAACTATCGTCCATTTTGACACCGTAGCTTTCGAAACATTTTTGGGGGTTTGTGATTTTGACGTCAAATTTGTCAAAGTTATTCGTCAAATATACCTCTCTACCCATTGATGACACAGTTTTCCAAATGGTTGCTACGAGTTCTTTAACTTCATTAGTATCAATAACGGATGATTTAGATGATTTAGAATAAGGAAAATGTGCATTAAGATTCAATTTTGCAATAGCTATGTCATTCTTTGGCGAAGGATTGCTTCCGTTATATTTTTCATTAATCCTCCAAAATAGTATAGGATATGTGTGCGTAAAATTATTCACATAATTATGAAGGAGAAGGACTCTGTGTGTCGCACCAGGTTTCCTACAGTGAGCTGATGTCACGATCCACTTGATAAGAATGACGCTGCCGAAGCAAGCGAAGGACCAAGAATTGGACGAATTTCTTGCAATAGCAGCAACGTAGGGGAATCTATCGGCGATTGGAAGCGTTAAGTTATCGCTTAACGCGAAAACACCAATGGATCTCGCGACTTCGTAGACGCCTCCGTTACCCGGCATGTATTCACGCTTTCTATCCTCCACGGTGATATCAGTCGCGAACTTCACCATCACACAAACCGCCATTATCGCGACGAATATTATTATAGTAAGAATTATACACGCGGCCTTCATTATTGAATAGATTACTCGGTGAAAATTTTGACGTATAACGTCATCTCTGATAAACGTCAACTCGCAATTAAACGCTATACTCTTTGAATAAACATTTCAAAAATGTATTATTCCACCAAAAACATTTTCACGTAAAAAATGTTGCAAAGACGAGACCACATGGCTGGCACTGTCAAAAAGTTGTCAGATCTCATGTACCAGATTTATCAGAACCAAGCTTCTAACTCTACTCGCCGTAAATCTACAAGCTCTAAATTCATAAACTCTACACTACACCTTAGTCAAAATATGTGGCTTGACCGTTTCGTTCTTCCGGCTGCCGATGCTGTAAAAGACGACTGCTGGTGAGGTGGACTAGTGCTGCAGGCGATCCTGCCCCCTACTTCTTCATTTCGGCTTCGTTCAGGGACAGCATGAATGGTAAGTTGGTTTTTCTTCTTTCTTTCGAAATCTCGAAAACGGCTCCAACGATTTTCGTGAAAGGTATGCAGGGGGTTTCGGGGGCAATAAATCGATCTAGCTAGGACTCATTTTTAGAAAATGTCGTTTTATCCATGTTTTTAGGCAATGAAAAACTGCTACAATATCATTAGAATACGAAGGTAAATTTTGCCGATACGTGAAGGGTTATAATAGATCAAATGGGATATCATAGAACGCCGGTTCGATTCCAAATGTTACCGAGCCGACTGTTTTTTCCTTTTTTCCTTCTTTTGTGAGAAAATATATTATTTGGAGCCCTATTTTAGTATATTTTTTTAAAGCGAAATCGATCGAAAAATTTTATTCATATTTCATTAGTTTGTAATTTGTATCTTTTTTATAGAAGAGGGGGCAAACGAGCATGCGGCTCTCCTGATGTTAAAAAGGTTCTAAATATAAATTTACAAAAAAACGTTTTTGCCAAAAAAATACCGACAAAGCCCACACATATATATATATATATATATATATATATATATATATATATATATATATATATATATATATATATATATATATATATATATATATATATATATAATATTATTCTTTTTATTATTCCTTCAATATAACTATTTCAGAACAGAAAAATTATTAACAGTGAATACATTTTTCACCTTACGCCCATGTGACTGTAGCGAAATGCCCAAGCCACATATTTTGACTAAGATGTAAAGTTTGTTAAGTTGGGGCTTGCAGCGTTAGGGCGTGTAGGGCAGGGCGAGCCATGTGGTTCTCGTCTTGGCAACAGTGTACATGAAAATGTTTGTGGTGGGATTTTACTTCTTCTTGTAAGTTGTTTATTACAATATTTTGTTATATGGATCATTTTTTGGATGTATTTCTTGCATATCAGAGGTGCCTTTTTTCATAGCCCACTCTCGGTCTCTGCCTTTTTTCTTTGTTGGTTTATTGTTTCTAATAAGCGATAGATCAAGGAGATACTTAGTTCTTAAGCGACTCCACTCCACTTTTACCTGACAGTTGTGTTTTAATACAACTAAATTCAATATTTATATTTTTTATTTGCAATAAAAAGTCTGTGTACTTGTATACCTAATTTTCAGATCTCTAGCATGAGCTTAACTTGTTTGGGAAAACCCATATACAAACTTCCATCCCCCTAGTTTAAAGAGTAGGGGTGATTTACTAAAAACACTGAAATATGTATTTTATTATTATTATTGATAACAAGGAGTAACAAGGAGTCTCAATATCAATTTTAAAACCTCTAGGATCAAACTTTGGGGAAGTCTCATACAAACTTCCATCCCCTAGTTTAAAATGTTGGGGGTAAAAGTTCCAAGCTTTATAATTTTTTTGGTGTTTGTATACTAATGCTAGATACTATACTAGATAAATTTCAGCTTTCTAGGACTTCAGTAAGTACCTTAAGAATTTGGATGATCATCAGTGAGTGAGTCAATGACGAACTCAGGTTTTTTTTAGATATCAATAAAATCTAAAGTATAAGAGCTATGCAATTGAAACTTATATATTTAATAAGTTCTTGTATTTTTTATAAGTTCTCTATTGAAATCATATTCCGATAATTTTTATTATGTGGTATAATTCAAACCCAAGTAATGAGGTTTCAAAAACACGACGAAGCGATTTGAGAAAAGGTAGTAGGTAGTACTTCATTTTGGTTTGGTTAGCTCGTCTTGGCGAAGCGCTTCGTGAAAGGGTAGGAAGTGCTTCATTTTGGTTTGGTTGGCTCGTCTTGGTGGAGGCAAGTAATAAGGCGCTTATGAAGGTCATAAAGTATCTGATATATAAGTAGCAGGTTACAGTCTACTGCTGGGCGCAGGCCTCCCCTCATTTCAATACGTCGTGTTGCGAACTACAGATGTATCCTAAATGATTAATGAAATTTCGTGCTTTATTTTTCAGTCTCGATACGTGGTCGTTCTCTGTTTTATTATCATCGTTCATTATCATCATCACTAATAACATCCTCCATAGATATTCTCATAGGGATTTCCCCTTATTAAAATGCTTGGCAGGTGGGTTGGCAAATGCAGCGTTGTTATAAGGCAGATGCTGGTACATGGCACCATTTTTTTGACCACTTTGACACCATTTGATATTAATTACAACTTGATACCTCCTCCCGTTAGTGAAAAAAGGGCCTTGACAGATGTATAAACGGACGGTCAACAAAGTAATCCTGTAAGGGTAACCTGTGGTTCGTTTTTTTGCCTTTTGAGTTATGATATAAGAAGTAAAAAAATAATAACATTTAGAGTTCGATAGTTTTCTAATAAAATATTTTTATTACGAGTTTAATAATTTATATATGGGTTATTTTCTTTGCTACCGCATCGAATTAATCTTTTTAACGTTGACCGCCTAACTCCCTAGTTATGTGTTAATATTTTTGTCAATATTATCAAAATCTTATGCTAAGTACGTAGAGTTCAAATTTAAATGTGACCAAAAAGTTTTGCTTTCTGCGTTCAGTATAGATGGCTTGAAAGCCGTGGTGAATCATAGGTGGCGAATAGAGTATATGAGGCTTATAAAATTGCTCTGTAATGTATATCGCATACATATTTATAAGGATGGGAATTTTAATAATTTAGCTATAAGCTACTTGCCTTGCTATAAGATGGTTGCAAAGCGTGGCGAACGTGGCATATATTTCCTCTGTGGTTCCACGAACTATGGCTCATGAAGTTCTCATTTGTCTAGCATTTACTTTATTAAAAAAATGAATGAATATAAGTCAACTTAATTTTCTTTAAGAAAGTAATTGTATGATCGCGGTGCAATGGCGCCGTTAGTAAATCCGCTACCCCTTCTCATCCCTTGTTGCAGTAGGAAATGAAATAAGAGAATAATAAATAACTGCATTTTTGCCGATCCGCTATTTATAGCAAATAATTACTTCCATGAATATTAAGAGACAATCTTGGAAGGCTTATTAGTCCGAGAGCTAGCGACAAAAATCGGCAAGAGTTTTGTTATCATCATCATCATACAGCCTTTCACAAGTCTACTGCAGAACGTAGGCCTCCCCCAAGGAATGCGACAAAGCACAGTCCTGAGCCACCTGCATCCATCGACTTCCTGCGTGTCTACCAGGTCGTCACTCCATCTAGTGGGGGGTCACCCTACACCACGCCTACCGGTACGAGTCTGCCACTCGAGAATATTTTTCCCCATCGGTTGTCAGTACTTCGAGCTATATGGCCGGCCAATTGTCACTTCAGCTTACTAATCCGTTGGGCTATGTCGGTCACTCTGGTTCTACTGCGGATATCCTCATTTCTAAGTTTATCACGCAGAGAAATCCCGAGCATAGCCCTCTCGATAGCTCGCTGAGCGCCTTTTGCGTTCTCACACGGCCAGCAGTGAAGGACCACGTCTCAGATCCGTAAGTCTTCACTGGCAACACGCACTGCTTGTATAATCTAGTTTTGAGATTTCGAGGTATACCTGACGAGAAGATGTGTAGTAATTTCCCGAACGCTGCCCAGCCGAGTTGAATCCGTCGATTGACCTCTCGATCGAAGTTGGAATTACCTAGTCGGACTATTTGTCCCAGGTAAACATACTCGTCAACAACTTCGAGCATAGTGCTGCCAACAACTACCGGCATAGGACATTAAACATGATCTTTGTTTTATCCATGTTCATCTTAAGACCTATGCGTTGGGAGATTCCATTGAGGTAAATGAGCATAGTGCTTAGATCCTCTAGCGATTCTGCCATAAGAACTGTATCGTCGGAAAATCGAAAGTGAGTGATGTACTCGCCATTGATGTCAATACCGTATGCTTTCCAGTCCAGTAGCTTGAAAACGGCGGAAAAATAGGTTTCGAACTCCGGTTCTGTACTCGGATAACCATCGTAGCCCTACTGTACAAACACTTCAGCACTTCGATATACCTATAGTCAACTTGGCACCGCTGAAAGGCTAATCAAAGGCTTTCTCATAGTTCATATAAGCCAGGCAAAGTGACAGATTGTACGCTTCTGTACAATCTGCCGCAGAGAATGTATGTGGTCTATGGTACTGAAGCCTTGTCGGAAACCGGCTTGTTCGGGAGACTGGAAGTCATCGAGTCTGCGTGAGAGACGATTCGTAATAACTCTCGAAAACAGCACGTAGACGGGGCTCAGAAGGGAAGTTGGTGAAACCACCGCACTTCTGTCCCACGCCTACGGAGTAGAGCCAGCATGGAGGACGGAATGGAAGATCTTCTGAAGGACTTTAAGTACCGGTGTTCCACCATCTTTCAGAAACTCCGCTGTAATTCCATCCACGTCTGGGGCCCTGCCACTATAAAAAAGAGTTTTGTAATAATTTAGAATTAGCAGTAAGCTATTTTATAGTGGAGCCGTGGTAGCTCAGATGGTTAGCGCTCGCTGTAAATTTCACAATACGCGAGCAAACCGGGTTCGTTCCCCGCCGGCACCAATGAAATTGTTAATTGCAATTTTAAGTACTGATTTACCACGTG